CAAGGAATCTACCCCACCATCCCAGCTCCAAACCAGAAGACATAGAGAACCAAACTTAGCATCAAAATATCTATTTCTGCCTACTGAACTACCATACCAAATCGAACTTGATTGGGCAACTATAAAAAAAATTATAAGAAAAAAACAGACAATTTGTGGACGGAAGAGGGACAGACGGACAGACAGCTAGACAGACAGACGGATGGACAGAGTGATTACTATAGGGCACCCGCAAAGCCTTCAATGAATGCAAATATTATGAAGGCTTGACCTTAACTTCAAACAAAAAGCAGTTGCAGACAAAGGTTTACATTAATCTTAAAGTGACAGATAAAGAAAAGCCTACTAAATTTTCTGCAGCAGGCTAGATAATCAATCCCAAAACAAACTTCATTTGCAGACAGAGGTGGTAATTAATCTCAATGTGACAGATAAAGATAATGCTCTGGATTTTCTTCAGGAGGAAAGCTAATTAATCCCAAGGGACTCCTAGCAGCATTCAGTTTACACTGCAAACATCTTCAGCAGTTATCTCTCTTTGCCAATGCATTCTTATATAAAGTTAAGAAATCTACCACACCACCCCAGCTCTAAACCATGGGACATGGAGAACCAAACGTAGCATTAAAATATGTATTTTTGCCAACTGAACTACCATATCAAATTTGTAATTGATTGGACAACCATAAAAAAGTTGCCCGTTCATTCTTATGCATAGTTAAGGAATCTACCCCACCACCCCAGCTCCAAACCAGAAGACATAGAGAACCAAACTTAGCATCAAAATATGTATTTCTGCCTACTGAACTACCATACCAAATTTGAACTTGATTGGGCAACTATAAGAAAGGTTATTAGAAAAAACAGAAAATTTGTGGACGTAAGAGTGACAGACAGCTAGACAGACAGACGGATGGACAGAGTGATTACTATAGGGCACACGCAAAGCCTTCAATGAATGCAAATATCATGAAGGCTTGACCTTAACTTCAAACAAACAGCAGTTGCAGACAAAGGTTTACATTAATCTTAAAGTTACGGGTTAAAAAAAGCCTACTAAATTATCTGCAGCAGGCTAGATAATCAATAAGGATATGGAAATAACGAACAGTATTCAATCTCAACGTCCATTAAACAAATATACAAAACAAGAGCAGAGCAAACACGGACCTCCGAAACATCAGAGGTGGGATCAGGTGCCATGGAGGAGTGAGCATCCCCTGCTGACCGGTCACACCCGCCGTGTGCTCATTGTCATAATCAGGAAATAACGGAAAAAATCCGTAGTCAATTCAGTGTATAAATAATGGACTAACAATTGGTATGAAAAACGTCAGTCAGCATTTCATTCAATGATAAATTGTATTTGCTGACAAGGTCATTGTATCGACCATAGAATTTACGAAATGATGACTTTAAACGAGACTGTTGATATTCTTGTTTCATCAACTTGCTTGTCAATAATTTACCTCGTTTAAGAAATTGTTCATACGTAGAGCATGCTCTTGCGTATCGAATCAACTGAGATATAAATACTCCGTATGCAGGTGATGAAGGTATATTGCTGCATAAGTAAGGGAAGTTGACGATAGAAAAGTTAAAGTCATCACGTTTATCATATAGCTTGGTTGTTAGATTACCATTTGTGTCTTTTTCAAGTAAAATATCCAAGTATGAAGCAGATGTGTTGGACTCTGTGGTATCTTTTATCTCAAGCTCACCAGGATATATCGTGTCGACGTAGGAATGGAAATTATCATTATTAATTGACAATACGTCGTCGATATATCTAAATGTCGAGTTGAAGGCCACAGCAAGTCTTTTTTTCTTTTCACGCAAAAGATTTTGCATAAATTCTGCTTCATATGAATATAAAAATAAGTCTGCTAATAACAGAGCGCAATTTGTACCCATGGGAATTCCAATAGATTGTTGGAATCGCAAGGGATTAATTGTACCTCTCTCATCATTTTCTTGTAAATTTACAATAAGAACTTTTCAGTATTAATGAAAGAATGGGGTTTTTATACAACTACATAAAAAATTAATTATATACTTGAATTAATATATTTTTTAAAAAAGTGAAAAAAGTAAATCAAAAAATCTTCCTTAATCTATTTCATGTTTTTAGAATTCAATGGAATCATAACTATCCAACAAAAATAAATAATAAAAATTCATATTAAAATCCACATTTCAGAGTGTTCATAGCATTCCAAATTGACTTAACTTCAAAACAAACTTCATTTGCAGACAGAGGTTGTAATTAATCTCAATGTGACAGATAAAGATAATGCTCTGGATTTTCTTCAGGAGGAAAGCTAATTAATCCCAAGGGACTCCTAGCAGCATTCAGTTTACACTGCCAAAATCTTCAGCAGTTATCTCTCTTTGCCAATGCATTCTTATATAAAGTTAAGGAATCTACCCCACCACCCCAGCTCCAAACCATGGGACATGGAGAACCAAACTTAGCATTAAATTATGTATTTCTGCCTACTGAACTACCATACCAAATTTGAACTTGATTGGGCAACTATAAAAAGGTTATTAGAAAAAACAGAAAATTTGTGGACGGAAAATTGACAGACGGACGGACAGACAGACAGACGGACGGACAGAGTGATTACTATAGGGCACCTGCAAATCCTTGCGGATCCCTTGTTATTGTCATCCTGTGCAATTATGATTTTTTATATTATACTGTATGTTCGGTTGAATAGAAATATTACTTTTGAAAAATTTTAAACTTTATTTTGGGCTTTTTGGTCATAGGGGTTTAAATAACATAAAATTAATCATAATAACACATTTTACCAGCAAAATTAAATTCTCAAAAATGCAGCTTGTATTTCTTTACTTTAGGATTATAGAGTGAATAAGTTGATTGACCAATGCTAGAAAATGGACAAACTATCACCAATTGTGTGCAGAAAATTTTGCGTCGTAAATTGCACTGTTACAACGCGAAATGTAATAACAACGCGAAATGTAATAAACCTGGATTATAACATTTTGCGTTATTACATTTTCTGTCGAGATCAACGCAAAATGTAATAACGCAAAATGTAATAACACAATTTTTAGATTATTACATTTTGCGTTATTACATTTTGCGACGAGATCAACGCAAAATGTATTAACGTGCCTTTTCGTTGTTACATTTAGCGTTATTTTATTTTTGCACTGAAGACAACGCAAAATGTTATAAAACAATATGTAATTAAACAAAATATAATAATATTTTTGATTGCGTTAAACAAAAAAAATCATAAAATTGATTCAAATATATACCTGTTACCAACATGGGAAACGCGCTATAAAATATTTTGAACTAAAACAATGAGATCAATGTTAGATCTTTTTCCGGACATAAGTACATTAAAAATGTATCGTTTTCTGATTCTGATTTTAGTTATATTGAATACATTGTACTTAATTATAAAGAATTATTTTAATTTTGATTGGAATATTTTTGATAGTCTTCTTAAATTTCCAACCAATAAAACATATTTAATTAACAAAGATTGACCATAGCTTCATTAAAAGCTCTTGATATCCATTTTCAACACGTATACACTGGTTAACAAATGAATAGAAGTATATGTTTGTCAGGCGAGGATCGGACGGGCAGGGATAGGGCTGGGTGTTTACTTTGTTTGTTTATTATTTAATTACTGTGGACATGCAGAAACAATTATTAGAGGTTTGAAAGAAAAGAGAGAGAGAGAGAGAATTTTGATTTTGCTTGTCTGCAATGCCGGGGATTTGCATGGAACAGTATGGTATTATTATTGTCGTTAAACCCCTTCCCGCTATACATTTACATATGCTAGTACAAATAGATTTTTTTTTATTCCTTGCAATTGTCTATAAAAAAAAAGCAAAAGCACACTGACCCAATACCCCAAACAACCTTGCCCACAGATGCTTGTTTCTAATTTGCCACACATTTTATATGAATGCATTTATTAAACGGATTTAGAATGATTTAGAATACATGTAATTTATTTAATCAATATATTTTAAAAAAATCATATATTGTAAGAAATTGAACTATTTTTTTTTTATTTTCTTTTCATCAGCCACTACGCTATTGAAAATTGTACTCTATCTGGCCGACGAAAAAAAACGTTTTTACATTTTGCGTTCCTGCCTTTTGCTTAAACTCGACGCAAAATGTAACAACGCAAAATGTTATATTAAAAAAATTGTGTTATTACATTTTTCGTTATTACATTTTGCGTTGAACTCGACGCAAAATGTAATAACGAGAAATGTAATAATTCTCCAAAATGTGGTGTTACATTTTGCGTTATTACATTCTGCGTTAATATCGACGCGAAATGTAATAACGCAAAATGTAATAATCCAGGTTTATTACATTTCGCGTTGTTATTACATTTTGCGTTGTAACATTGCACATTATTTTCATAATGGGAAAGTCACACTGATAAAAACATATTAAAACATATTTCTACAGTTCTCCCTACACTGTCACATGAAAGTTCTTAGCAGAGCTCTCTCTTTGTATATCAATGTCCTATTCACAACATGTGCACTGCTTCAATAAATATAAATACATTGAATGTTATAACTTTTATTTCTATATAAGGATGATCTGCAATATGCTGCATTATTGCACAAGAAAATAGCACTATAAAACTAGAAAAAAAAGAAAGGAATGAAAAAGAATTCCAAAAATAATCATAAACCCCAAAACCCATATAATCTACCCTTTATATAAGTAACATTGATAATTGTATGTACATGTATATATGAAAAATATATAAATTAAGCATATAAAGTGAAAAAAAGATAAGTGATAAAGAGAAACAAAGATGACTTTTTCCAACAATCGGTGGTAATTTTCCCCTGAACATAAATCCATACATAATAATACTATACATATTGCTAAATCTCAATTATAGCTATATCTTTGGATAAGAAATCCATCTCATTGGATAGAAAACTATGTATTGCTAAAACCTACACTTTCAAATCAGAAACTGTCATCTCTCGGTGTCAAATATTAATCAATGGATTAGATAAGCCTTGGCCTTTGTCCTCGGGTAACTAGGCGCTGAGAGCCATCCTGATCTGTCTGTCATGTTTTCCCTCAGACAAGCATGTGACGCTCAGAAGTGGATGGTCAGTTTTCTGTAGATATTTCTGAAAATTCAGACATGGTGTAACTTTATTAATCCTCAAGATCTGATGAATGAACTTTCAAGGTTATGACCATAAACATAACAACATGTAAGATCTAGTTTTGCTTAAAGGAAAAACGTACAAATTTGATAAAAATACACTGTAAAATTAATTAATAAAAGTTTGTGTGTTCTGGTGTAAATCAAGATGTATAATTTATATCTACTGATAATACAGTTCTGCTTACATGGGCATAAGTCATTGCATTCTTTCTTTTATCACTATTAATAATACAGTTCTACTTACATGGGCATAAGTCATTGCATTCTTTCTTTCAGCTACAGAGGTTTCCAATCCAATCCAGACGAAGACAGCTTTCTTGGTGTCGACAACAAACACATCCTAATGTTAATAAGTCAACAGAAATATATTTATTTCATTGTTGTACTCATCCAAACTATGGTGAGTTTTAAGCAAGTGTGACTTAAGACAGATCTGAAAGTCTCGATTTTTGATGTCAAATTCCCAGTGGAAATTATTTTAAACAGCAGTCTTCAGCGTTCACTCACCTTGCTATCCAAATCAGACGTGGATACTGACCCACTCTTCTCTACTTTAAATGTCAGATTTCCCGAGGCATCAGACAATCTATGGAAACAAAATGTTGTCATACTTTGATGAAACAAGGTGTAAATTTAAATGATGAAGCAAGTGGCTTTTATTTTATTTCAACGTCTTTTTCAGAAGCCCCTATCTTATAAAGTTCTTGAAGTAAATAATATTCCATTCAAACAATAAAAAACATTTTTAATACAGAAAAAAGTAAAACTTAGAAGGTAACAGGAAAACCTACTTCAAAGACATGCATAATTTATTTCTAGATGTGTGCATGTCTTTCATGTGGAGACTTAATTGTCATTTGTCTACCTCCAGAGGTTTTCAAGAAAAATAGAAAAAATGAAACATTCTGAATTCCTAATACATTTATTTGATGAATATTTTCAACCTTTACATCAAGTCAGTCATTTCAGAATCTTAGACTTTGTCTTTGAGAAAATATGTGATTGTGTTTGTTTATTTGTGCCCCAATACACTATATGCCCCTTAGCCAACCTGAAGAGTTCCACTGTCAAATCTTTCGGCTTCATGTTCTCTGCTTCATCTGGAACATCATCTTCCGTCAGGGCATTGTAAAACTCGTGCTGTAAAAGGGATAGGGGCATGGTAAAACTCGTGCTGTAAATGGGATAAGGGCATGGTAAAACTCGTGCTGTAAAAGGGATAAAGGCATGATAAAACTCATGCTGTAAAAGGGATAAAGGCATGGTAAAACTCGTGTTGTAAAAGGGATAAAGGCATGGTAAAACTCGTGCTGTAAAAGGGATAGGGGCATGGTAAAACTCATGCTGTAAAAGGGATAAAGGCATGGTAAAACTCGTGCTGTAAAAGGGATAAGGGCATGGTAAAACTCGTGCTGTAAAAGGGATAAGGGCATGGTAAAACTCGTGCTGTAAAAGGGATAAGGGCATAGTAAAAATCATGCTGTAAAAGGGATAAAGGCGTGGTAAAACTTGTGCTGGAAAAGGGATAAGGGAATGGTAAAACTCGTCCTCGAAAAGGGAAAAGGGCATGGTAAAACTCGTGCTGTAAAAGGGATAAAGGCGTGGTAAAACTCGTGCTGTAAAAGGGATAAGGGCATGGTACAGGAGGCCCATGGGCCTTATAGGTCACCTGAGCATTATGCAACAACTTTCCAGTGATTGAATTTGATTCATGTTTTAAGCCAGATGCTATGGCATTCACAATTTTGAAAGAGGCATCATTGATCATCATAACTAAACACTTAGCAGTTGCTTAGTTTGGTTACTTAATACCCATAGACAAGGCAGAGGAACAAAAAATACATTTCAACTAATTATTCATATTCAGCAATAATCAGTAATGCCCCTACTACACATGAACTCCTGACCCTTAGGCCTAGATCCACACATTGCCCAATATTTGAAAAGGTATCCTTATTTTTCAAAAATATTTGATTAATACTAAGGAGCAGAATTCAAACAATTCATTCATTTTCAGTCTATAAGTACAGCCCCCCCCCCACCCCCACCCCCTCTATGGTACCCCTGACCCTGGGTCCTTGAAATTCACAATTCTGGAAGCTAACGGTCCTTGTTCGTAACTATATAGGTAATTCAACTGCTTAAAACCCAGGAGCAGAGAAGAAAATTTTCAAAGATTTTATGTATTTCACTATAATCAATAGAGCCCCCCCCCCCCCTAACACCAGAACCCTGACCCTAGGGCCCAAAAATTCACAATTGTGGTAGAGGCACTCTTGCTCATTATAACTATATATTTAGTTAGTTTATTTAATACCTAGGAGCAGAGAAGATTTTCACTACATAATCAATAGAGCCCCCCCCCCCAACACAAGAACTCCTGACCCTGAGGTCCTAAAATTCACAATTTCGGCAGAGGCACTCATGCTCATTATAACTATGCACTTAGTTAGTTTATTTATTACCTAGAAGCAAAGAAGAAGATTTTCAAAGAATTCATGTATTTTCACTATATAATCAATAGCCCCCCCCCCCCCCCTGAACACACGAACCTCTGACCCTGGGGCTGTAAAATTCACAATTTTGGTAGAGGCACTCTTGCTCATTATAACTATGCACTTCAATAGTTTATTTAATATCTAGGAGCAAAGAAGAAGATTTTCAAAGAATTCATGTATTTTCACTATATAATCAATAGAGCCCCCCCCCCCCCACACACACACCAGAATCCCTGACCTTGAGGTCCTAAAAATCACAATTTTGGTAAAGGAACTCTTACTCATCATAACTATGCACCTACTAAATCTATTGAATAACCGGGAGCAGAGAAGAAGATTTTCAAAGAATTCATGTATTTTTACTCTATAATCAATACAGCCCCCCCCCCTAACACAAGAACCCCTGACCTGGGGCTTTAAAATTCACAATTTTGGAAGAGGCTCTCTTGCTCATTATAAATATGCACTTCGATAGTTTAATTAATACCCAGGAGTAGAGAAGAAGACTTTCAAAGAATTCATGTATTTTCACTATATAATCAATAGAGCCCCCCCCCCAACACCAGAACCCCTGACCCTGGGGCCATAAAATTCACAATTTTGGTAGAGGCACTCTTGCTCATCATAACTATGTGCTTAGTTAGTTTATTTAATGACCAGGAGCAGAGAAGAAGATTTTCAAAGAAATAATGCATTTTCACTATATACTTATTTAGCCCCGCCCTAGCACTAGAACCCCTGACCCCAGGGCCATGAATGTCACAATTTTGCTAGAAGACTCAATGCTGATTACAATCATGCAAACAGTTTGACTGCTTGATGTCCAGGAGTAAAGAAGAAGATTTTTAAAGATTGCATTAATTTTAGTGGTTTTGGCCCCACCCCTCAGGCCCCAGAGGTGAAGAGATCATGAAATTCACAATTTTTGTTCCCCTTCACCCATAGATGCTTTGTGCCAAATTTGGTTGAAATTGGTTGAGTAGTTGCAGAGAAGAAGCTTAAAATGTTCAAATGTTAACGCACAACGCACGACGCACGACGACGGACGAAAACAGATAGCAATAGGTCATCTGAGTTTACTCAGGTGACCTAAAAACTTGTGCTGTAAAAGGATTTTCCTCTAAGAGCTACTTGTACTTGTCATGTAATGATATTAAAAACAGTCCAGTGTACCAAAAAATTTTAGATAATGCCTCCATGCTCCTTTTTCAAAATTAATTGATTAGACACAATTTTGTTTTTATCTTGCTGATCAATTTTGTGATTTGTTTTATAACTGTATACATGGAAACAAAATGAAAATGTCATGTTAGAGCATAATCTCCTCTTGAAAGGATACATGTACTTCAGAATCCATACATTATATTATATACTCCTCCATGGCAACTGATCCCACCTCTGATGTTTTAGAGGCCCTTGTTTGCTCTACTCATGCTTTGTATTGTTTTTTGGACTTTGATATTGAATTTTGTTCATTATCTCCATATCCTTCATTAAACTAAAGAGTGACTACAATATGGTAACAGTTGACACTTGCAACATAGTGATTTCTTATTCCCAATGGTCTTCAAATGCATTGTTTACTTAACACATGAACTTCATACTTTTATAACAATTGTTTGGTTTCCCTGGAACTTTGCTGTAAGCATATTTTACTCTAAATGTAAGGATTTGCAATATATGGACATTTTCAAAGAACAAAAAGCATTCTACTATATTACTAATGCAGCAATATTTCCATGCTAAAATAATTTAAATATTATGGGAAAGACATACATTGTTTAATAATCAACTCAGTATCACAATGGCAGTATCTCACAAGGCCCAAGTTTATAATTTATTTTTTATTTCCTTTTCTGTATTAAATGTTAAGTCCATAAAATGTATACAAACTGTATTCATAAGGTTTGTCCCAAAAAATAAAAGAGTTTTTATTCAGAATTCTAACCTGATAAAAAAAAATTGGACCCACTTTGTGTTGGATTGTATATTTTCTTCTTTTTGAAAAACAAACTCATTAATTTGCCTTTTGGATTCCAAATTGGCAAATTTTTAGCAAGCTTGAATCAACATTGATAGGCATGTATGCTGACTAACAGTCATTATTAGATATGTTTATGCTTAATATGAAGATTTTTCCTATATCCTTTTATATATTTGGAATTTCAAAACAATTTTTTGATCTCATCATGGTCAAACATCAATTTAAAAATTCCCTTTATAAATAAAGCATCCTACGTAAGCTTTAGGCTATACATCACTGTAGGAAAGCGGCTGACCGTAGTATATACTACGGTCATCAAAACATGTCGGCCGAGGTCACCGCTTAGAATTTTTTAGTCAAGATTTTAAACATTTGTCAGTTTATTTGTGTCAATTCTTGCAAAATTTAAATGAACACTAATGAGAACTTACTATTAGTTATTGTTACTTACTTGAATTTAAAGAAATAAAGCTGTAGTAGGACCTCAAAGATTTTGACAATGATGACCGTAATAACAACACTCGACAAAGTAGATGACGACCGTAATATAATTATAGAGATGACCGTAGTATATGTACAAAATCAATTGAGACGAAAATATCTTATTCAATATCAGTACTAGAAGTTCAATACAGATTACATTATACAAAATCTATATACTAATACGTTCTATTTCCACTAGTTAAAAGTTATAGTTCTTAATGCGCTCTTTTGTGAAAAAGTCAGGGAATGTACAAATCTCGCGGGATTTCTGGGACATACGTAACATAAACATGTAAACAACATGTTGAACGTCGATGAACAAATCCTAACAAAATGCATATGAAATATTTAATTGTTGTGAACTTTATTTAAATCAAGAGCAGAGATGACAAGGATATGAATTTGCATCTATTGGTGATCGTATGTATCTATTTATCGTAATGGTACATTTACAGACAATACACATACCTCGGAAATGTCGTGTATTTTTATTAATGGACGATAAAGTTAGGGTTTTCGCTTTCTTACATATGTCTTTTAGTTCTTCTATTCTTTAGTTATAATGACAAATGGACTTAACATTCAAAAGTAGATTGAGACTTGCATGATTTGTATTATCCGCAACGCCATTCTGTCCCAGTCAGACGACCAAACGCGCCTCTAATTCTGAAGAGTACACTAATGGAAATACAAGGTATTAGTATGGAGGTCATAAAAAAAGAACTGAAACGTTTTAAATATGATTGATTTAGCACTTATCGATAAGAGAAGCCACGCTTAATTTAGAATGTTAAACAAAGTATTAATAAAAATCTTGAAAAAAAGTAACACTTTTCTTCGACCTTATTTTATTTTTTTCTTTTTTATTATACAATATTATATACATTATACATATAAAATGATAATATTAATAATTGCGACTATTAAGTTTATTTTGCATTCTTTAGGAATAATATTGATATTGCGACCATCACTACATTATAAGTCCTAGTCCTCCTCTGAAAAAAGACAAACATCGCCCTTCAAACAGTTTTAATTGCAACTGTTACCCAAAATGACAGTGACTCATCACTACATCTCATGTATAATAAACCGTCCTTTGTTTATAGAACTTGCCGATATCAAGCAACAGGTCGAGTGCAATGTTGCCATGTTCTGATGTTTTTCATTAATGC